ATAAAACGTGACACGTGTTCTTACCTATTAATCATTGACACATGCAGGAAACTAAATTTGTGATCCAAATATAAATGGAAATGCGAAAAATACTAGAAAAATTACAAGTCAGGTAAGAAATACACACTTGTGTTTACGCGATGCGAGGCAACTTTGCGAAAGATGGCGAGTGTGTATCCGACACCACAGTCGTCAGTATACTGAATGGAACGAATTGCCTCGGCTGTGCCTTCACCTCGAAATAATGCTTGAAGTAGCGAGACACACGTGCAGAAGTCGTGCTCTGTGTGTGTGTGTGTGTGTGTGTGTGTGTGTGTGTGTGTGTGTGTGTGTGTGTGTGTAAATTGAAAATAATAAATAAATAAAATTAATAAACATGCTTGTTGAATACCATTATTCTTTTTAGACTGTAAAGGCGTTTCTTCCACTTATGTTGGAGAACAATAAAGGGCATATTGTGAGCGTGGCTAGTTTAGCCGGTCAATGTGGAGTTCCGAAATTGGTAGACTATTGTGCATCCAAATTTGCAGCAATGGGATTCGACGAAGCCCTTCGAATGGAACTTGAGGTAACTACATTTGTTCAATAGAGTGGATTGGTCTAATAATAATATATAATCTCAATTACTTCAATCGCTTTCTCCTTTAGAAAATGATACTTTAAATATAAATTTTATAAAAATACAAAGAGAGAAAGAAAGAAAGAAAAAGAGAAAGAACTTTTGCTTTCAAATGTGCGATTTGGTGTAGATATAAAAAAGTTTCTACATATATTTGATGTTAAATCTCATTTAACGATACATCATTAATTGATTAATTGATTAATATTAATAATTATTTTCAACTATTCTGCTCTAGTACGAGGGATATAATATTAATACGACAGTCGTATGTCCTTATTTCATCCGCAGTACTGGTATGTTCGACGATGTTAAATCAAGGTAGATGATATTTTATTATATCTTCCGATAATACAATTGAATTGATCAAATGTTTTGAAAGTTACTTAAAACTATATTATCTAAAAGAAATATGTTATGTGTGTCTTTAAGTAAAAATTTGTTTTTATGCGTTCATTCTTTTTGCTCTTTATATTAAAATACATTAGGAAAAAGTTTGTGAAATTTTTAATACGTTTGATCAAAATAATCTCGATAAGTAAGCTTCGAATATAGAAAACATTAAAAATTGGGAATTTATATATTTTAGATATATTCCAACTCTGAGTCCAAATGCTGTAGCTGATAGAATTATAACGGCAATGAGATGTAATGAGAAATACGCCATTATTCCGGGCTACTTACAAATTTTATTGTCTCTAAAGTGGTGAGTAGATTATTATTTTGTTGTCATTTAGTCACATACGCAAAAAGAGCAAAAGAAAAATTATATAATCGGAAAAAAAACGCAGGATATTTCCATGGGCATGTTCCGCGATGCTTCTTCGTGGGTTGGTCAAAGATGCTTCGCCAAGCCACGAGAGTAATGAATCGTGTAATGAATCTGCAACTGCAACCACTGTAGAAGAGGAATATGCTATATCATTAAAAGATCAAAATAGTGCCGCTATCCATCAACAATTGGCTAGACGCATTTCTAGTTCTGAAAGGAAGCCTTAAATTTTTCTTACGATTTTAATATTTTAGATTGTATGTCGTTTCTTTTTGTTGCGTCTCCGCCTTGTGATCGCTATACTTTAATTTTTCAATTTGCAATCTTTGAAATTGTTTCAACAAATGAAAAATATCGAAGAAATATAGCAAAACTCACTTGAGCAGAAGGAAAATATGATTCGTTTCAAATGTAACGAACTTGAAATAAAATTGAACTTGTATGACGCTTTTCTTTCTATAACCTTTCTTTCTGTTTGCGCCTTCTTTTTAGGAGCGATTAGTTAATTGTGCGGTCATTAGGGGAAAGAAAGAGACTGTAGCAAATGCATTCCACTTTAATTAGGAATTATATATCTTTGCTTTCATATCTTTGCGATTTGACGCACATATAAAAAGATAAAATTTCTATATGTATATGAATGTATAATTTTGTGGTGATAAATATGTTGATAGATTGTTTTGAAGTTACAATGTTAATGCATACTTAATAAATTGAGACAAATCTTTGTAGTTAAATAATTACATTACATTTAGTAAGAAGTCCTGAAAGACATGAAAGACATGAAAGATACAACACATATTCTTGTATCAGCAGTTTGTTATCAGTCTTAGATTTCACATCTATGGAAATTACAATAACTTTATCGACGCGATTCAAAGAGCATGCTACCAGTACACTATTTAGTGTAATACTTGTTACGTAATATCCGTTTGAAGAATTATTTGCTCTAGCGGGTGTAATAATGATATGTATTATGTCATAACTTGGCATTACAAATGTTTTTTTTTCAGAAATAATGCAATGATAATATCAGCACTATTAAATTCCATGAATGCTATTGTATAACCTTTTTGCTATTATTAATTTTAAAAAATTACCTTAAAAAGATATATATTTTTATCAATATAAAAAATATATCTTGTCATCTACATTTACCTTTGTTGATCGACTGACACTATTATCTCAACAGAATTTGTAACGTTTTTACAGTGTGATAGTGAGTTTCCCGAATGCGCTATAACGTTGAATGTTGTGATCTTAGTAACAAGTTTATTGTCATTACTTATTAAGCAATTCAAAATTATTTTGCGGTCCTTGGCGTCACGAGACACTTTATTATTTTTACATAAAAAATTATTAGATAGACATACGGTTAGAAAAATGTGATAGTGAATTTGTAAATGATGTCAGTACTAGATATAATAATAATATAAGAATAATATTAGAGTAATAGAGTAGAGTGTCTGTAATTTCATGTGAAATTATAGAAATGTGGTATACTAAAAATAAAATGTTAATAAGTAATGTTAAATGAATTTTTCAAGTTTTCAGTTTTACAGAATTCATACAGATTATTGTTTTTTTTTAGCCGCCGTTTCATATAGATATAAATATTTATAAGACTATGTATATTATTGTATGCTAAATAAACTTCCTTACGAACATGTACAATGCAATTTGCGTGCGATTTAAGTTTTAGTTTTCCAAAGCATAGCTTTAAATAATAAATTATGTAATAAATTATGATACGTTACATCAATATTTGATTAACATAAGAGTGTTAGAATATATAATACACGTAAATTACATACATGTAAATTATATTACATTAAGAATATATTAACATAAATCTTATAATAGAATAATATCTGAAATATCTTATTTTTATATAAGAAGAAAATTTAAGTGATTTTTTTATCACGATCAAAATACTTGTATATGAGATATACATATTAAGAAATATTTTTAATCAGTATAAAAATTAATATAAAATATATATTGCTTTTATCCTGGAGATTAACTGGCAAATTGCAGGAGCAATATTCTACAAAATTCTACTGGAAATAAAAAAAATGTTATATAAAGTTTGAAATGCTTTATTATACAGACTTATGAATAAATATTGAAACGGAAATAAGCAACCAAGGATTTCTATTGCGCAGAATATTAATGAAATAATTTCATAATGTATTTCAAAATGTTCTTTATATATTATATATATATATATATATATATATATATATATATTTATTGTAATAAGTTCCGTATTACGTCGATATCAAGTTTATATTTCGGAAGCACATTTTGAAATGCGTTATTACATCGTTCCATTAATATTCTGCGTTTCCTTTTTTTTTTTTCCTGTGGAAAGTCCTTTGTTGTTCATTTCATGTTCCATGTTTGTTCATAAGTCTGTGATAAAGCATTTCAAACTTCATATAACATTTTTTTTTATTTTCACTTGTAGAATATACTCCTGCAATTTGTCTGTTAAACTCCTTTTCTGCATTTAAGAAAATTATAAAGTAAATTCAATTTTTTATTACGTAATTTTTTAATTTTCTTAAGATATTTATAATAGAAATTTTAATGTTAAAAGTGAAAAACACTAATTAATTTTTATAAAGTGCCATAATCTATTTTTGCAAACTGATACTTAAAGTATATATTTCGTTATATTGTGTTGTATAACAATTTTATAAGAGAATTAGAATACAAGATACAATTAATTTCACTTTCTTTAAACTTTATTTCTTAATTTTCCTCACATAAACGATTAAATATATATAAAAGTATGATAAAACATTTTCGATAAATGAAATACATCATTTGTCTTTTTCTAGCAACTACAATTATTCTCGCTTTTATTATAGTGTGCTTTTATAGCAATTCAACAAATGACTAAAAAAATTCAATAATTATTGGAAATCATGTAATTCTTAAGGTAATACGCTGTTTCTCATAAACAGATTAATAACTAACTTTCACTGAGACTTGGTTGTTTTCTGCTTCTCGAGAGCCAAAAGCTTTCTATTTCTTGTGAGAGTTATCGTAATAATTCCTAAAGTGAGAGTTAAATTCTACTTACGTGTATTGGAGTATGGAGTAATAAAATTTTAAATATGCATAAATCTGAAAGAAATTTTTACATAAAAAATTAAAGGAAAAAGGGAGTTTTTTTTTTTAAATTGAAATCAAATTCTAGTCTAAAAATGTCCAAACCAATTAATGCAGGAAATGCGAACGTAAGAATAGGTATCGCTAGATTTACTTTTAAAAATGGAGATAGCTATGAAGGAAAATATCAAGTAAACATTGAGAGATGCATCTTAGTTAAGCAAGGTTAACATTTCACATATTAGTGACTATCAATATTTCTTATCTCTGAATCAACTATATACCGATACATTTTATACGATTTTTAGGTCAAGGGATATATATAACTGATAATTTTGACACGTACAATGGCAAATGGTACAATGATGAGTTTAATAATGTTGAATTTCACATTCGGTAATTCGTGTGAAATTGCATGAAATTAATGATATTAATATAATTGAATATCTTAATAATTCTAATAGTGAATCTCTAAAAGTGACTCTATTTATGTTTACACAAGATACAATAATAATGCACAATACAAGGGAAATGTTGACCCGAACGGGGCAATGAACGATATAGGAACATACATTTTTCCTGATGGGTCATCATTAACGTCGACATGGTCTCAAAATAAACCTATCTCGAACATTGTTTATAAAGAACCACTTGGATATGAATGGACACCCTTGTCAATTTCAGATAATGTTTGTATAAATATAAAATTATGAATTAACAAAATGTATTATAATTTTTACTTGTAGATGTGTATATATATATATATATATATATATATATATATATATATATATAGTTTATTAAAAATATTCTTCATTTATATATACAGCAAATTCTGTTTACAACTGATAATCATTTTTGGAATGAAATATACAAAGAATTTTCCCAAGAAAGCTTCCTTTCTCTTTCACATTGATAAAGTTAAGATGATTTATAATTGTGATTGTCTAATTGAATGTAAATTAAAAAATAACTTATTCGACACTCTATTTAAGAAACTATTTACAAGTTCCAAACATGTTTGTAATGTATTTATAGTCAAAAGCAAAATACTAATAATACTATTTTCTGAATAATTTATTAATAGTTATTAATTATTTTCACTCGTCCTTATATATGGATGGTACTCTAAATCGACTAATGGCTGGTCGAAAAAGTGGATTTTCCTCTAAAGCGTAAACAGTTCTTTGTTGTTCCTGCTCGAATTTTGCATATTCTTTACGATCTTGTATTGAGGTCCAACTTCTACAATAAAAAACTTTATTATGTTTATGTTTATATATAATAAAAAAATCTGATCCAATTTTTATAACGCTATTTTATTAAATGATAAATCACAAAATAATCAGAAAGTAACTTACTTCCATGTTAACAAGCCGATAATTCCGAGTAGTAATACAGCACCAAAGATGATTCCCGGTATAAATGCGGCGTGCATCAATGTGCGACACATCTAATTTTCAGATTTAGAAAAATTAGAACGGAAATTTATAAGAAAAGTATTATTTTGTGATGAAATATTGTGTGTATGTGTAGTTTATATTTCCATCGGATAATAGTAAATTTATAAATCTATGTTACATACAATATACCTTGTTGGCAATTTTCAATGTAACCGATTTATCTGTTTGAAATTCATATATATAAGGTATGATGCAAACAGTTCTGTCTTGTATCGTCCTCACAAAACAATAATGCTCATCATCTGCTTAAAAATGTATAAATAAATATTTGTCGACAACATTCATAAGATATCCGCTTAAATATTTAACGCGAATATGAAAGTAGGTTGTGTCGAACGGATCGAACGACATAAACCGCATTCACATATACCTATATTCACCGTGTCCACTCGCTCGGTTTTGTAAAGAGTTGTATTGGTCTGACACAGTTCTTCCGCTTTCTCCGGATATTCGACCGTGACGTTCACGCAAGAGTTGTAGAGAATGCAAAGTCCACTACCACCTACACTTGCCGACGATTCGCAGTAAGTGCCTCGATAGTATAGACCATCGACTGCTGTCTCATTACATCTATGCATTTTTTAAAATAAAATCCTATTATCTATATTATATTATCGAATAATGTATTATTATAATGTATTATTCCAAGTGCACATCATACACACACGCGTACATACAAATGATTCATAGATATTGTCTTAATATTTAATATGTGAAATATCAAGAAAAATCAATTTGTGTAAAAAAATTTATATTTTAAATGTAGATTAAATTTATGATTCTGATATTATTTTTAAAATGTTAAAATAAGATTTTATATCTTGCCCAGAATAAAATAATTTTTATCTAAAACATTTTCCTCAAAAATGTTGTTTCGTTTTTCAGAATTGTTTAACTAAGTCGATCAAAATGAGTCACTTTATGTTTAAAAAAAAAAAAATTATATATATATGTGTGTGTGTGTGTGTGTGTGTGTGTGTGTGTGTGTGTT